TCTTTTAGTAAGTGGAGAAAACTCAACGCTGGTTTTCACGAGATAAAGAATAGGGCGGGTGAAATATTCTGTCTAATTCATGTTTTTCAAGAAGTTTACATATTTTATTACTTATTTTTCTTATTTTTATATTATTAGATATTTAATTTTAATATTTTCAATTAAATATTTAGTATTTATATGCTCTGCAAAATTATAATATATTTACAACATTCAGCAGAATATATAAAATAATTTAATATAATTTATTTATATTTTAAAAATTATATATTGATTAAAAATTAAATTTTAAAATATATTTAAAAATATGAATATTCTATACTTATCCATTTCGAAATTAAATCTTTTCTAATCAATTTTTTAATTAACAAAACGTAGGAAAAAAAATTGAATAATATTTGTGATAAAAAATTTTCACAAAATTTTAATAAAAAAATAATTCACTCAATTTTTTTTCTTTTCTTTTGGTGTGTGTACGACTAGGCTTTTTTTCTTCTCTTCTCTGATTTTGCAATTCCCACTCATATATATATATATATATATCATATATATATATAGGTGAAATGAGTAATTATTAATTCTTATTTAAACTTTTTTCGTGTACAAATCCAAACTAATTTGGACTTTCCTTTTTTTATAGCATCTAATTACATATATATATATATATAATATATATAAAATTCAAGTCCAATTTTCTGTACCGTCCAAATGAATTTGGACTCTTTTTTTTTTTTAACAGCCAATTATATGTATCTTATATATACATGTTGCATTTTTTATTATTATTATTATTTAATAAAATAATTTTATAAATTAATTCAATTGCAAATTAGATTTTATAATAATGTTCATTATTATAATAACCATATATATTATATTATTACACTAATAATATAATAATAATAAAATATAAATATTAATTTTTTATTTCTAAAATAAAAAATTTAATTTATCGTGAATATTAATTATATCATCTGTACTAGTAAATAATATAATAATATTTTATTTAAATTAAAAAAATTATTTATTTAATTCAATTAAATTCTTTAATTTAATTATTAAATAATTAAAATAATTAATTCATTTAGCAAAAGTTATAACAATCGTTAGTGTGCGATCATATAAATTCAATACTAAACCGGTAGCAAATTGATCAAACCAATTTACTAATTAAGATTGGCATCTACCAACACTACTTAATGATCGGATAGCATGAAACTTACACTTACTTTTAAGAACTTGTTAAATAATTATATAATATTTTTTTTCTGTCATTATTGCTCCTAGTTAATCTTAGGATATGATTTAACTATCAAATCTCAATAGGTAACTAACCATATTTCATGTCAATTATAATTGACTAATGAATGACATAAGAAACTATTTTTTAATTTTTTAATTTTTTATTTAATATAAAAATGAAAAAAAAATAGGTAGAAGATGAAATTAAAAATAATTTTGAAAAAAAAATGGTGAAATTTTGAGTTCTGGTGGTGTTTTTGAAAAAAAATCGAAAATCGAGGATTAAAATGCAATTTAAGAAAATTGTGCCACGTAGGATACCTAGTCAGCAGCCCCGATGAACCAGAGCACGCCGCGTGGCAAGACACGCTGATACGGTGTTACGCGGGAGGCTACACTGGCGATCTGCATGCCCGCAATCGGACGGTCCGAATTTATTTCCGCGCGCACAGACAGTCCGGATCCATTCTCCCTTTAAACGCGATCAGATGGCTCAGATCAAATTACGATGAACAGTCCAGATCAAACGCGGTGGACGGTCAAGATTAAAAGGATACGGATATAAATAACCCTCTTCACACTAAATCCTAACCCTAGCCACCAGACACCCCCGTCGGAGAAGAAGAGCCAGTCGCTAGGAAGGGAGTCGATTGCCGCCTACCGTCGCACCAGACCTACATCTGACTGCCAAAAGAGGTAAAAAAAATTTTATTTGCTCGAAATTAAATTTTAAACACCCTATGGCCAAATCGGAGCAAAATGACTGACAGATGAGCCGAAAACTACGGGCAAAGCCCGGCGACCTTGCCACAGAAAAAAGCAAAAATCGCCTCCGATGAGACCATTTTCGATTCTCGTTTCGTGTAATTTTTTTACCATTGTAATCACCATTCCTTTCTCTATAGGTTGGCCAAAGCAAAACACTCAACCGCAAATATGAGCCGGCGGAGCCGCCGTGCCAAAAAACTCTGCCGCCGGTAAGCTTTGGTTTTTTGACTTTTTTGAGCGAACCGATGCCCTTTAACGTGTTTTATCGTAGGGATGGGTACAAAACTGGTCAAAATCGGGCAAAAACTGCAAATTCGAGGTAAACCGCCACTGCGGGCGGTGGTGCCGATGTCGGAGCACGGCAGAGCCGCCGTGCCGAAATTCTGAAATTGACTAAAAAGGGTTTCTAACACTGATTTTGATTTTTTTCGGGGGTATTTTTAGGCACTTGAAGCGTGTTTTAATTCTCGAAATAAAATTCAGGGAACTCGGGGACCGCCAACAGGCACAACCAAAAGTGTAACGCCCAAACAATTGGGTATTTTTGTAATTTTTTTATTAATTGTTTTTATTAAGTTTATATAAAAAAAAAGAGCTCCACGTCAGCAGCCACGTCAGCAGTCCTGGCCAACCAGGACCTTCCACGTGGCAAGACCACATCGACCCGGGGACGGGCCACGTTGGCGATCCGCGTACGCGCGATCGGACGGCCCAGATGCAATCGCACGGACGGCCCAGATTCAATCAAAAATGGACGGCCCAGATTAAATCAAAATGGACGGCTGAGATCAAAAGGCAAAAGGGTATAAATAGAACCCCCACACCTGACCACAAAAACCCTAGCCGCCTGCCCTCGCCGGAGAAGACGAACCAGACGCCGGAGGAGCCGGCTGCCGCCACCCGCCGCCGCACCGGGGAGATTTTCGACCGCCGATCGAGGTAAATTTCATACTCCCGACTCGTTTTTCCACGCTGATTTCTCCTGTGGCCAAATCGGAGCCAAAATCCCGGCCAAACGGCCGAAACCCAGCGGTGCCGTCGCGCCCCTCCTCGGTTTTTGCCTCCGATGAGGCCCTTCCCGGCCTCCGTTTGATGCAATTTTTATATCACCGTGATCACCATTCTTTTCTCTACAGGTTGATCAGAGCCGAATCACCAAAACACGAACCTCACCTAGGGTTGTTTTATCGTAGGGACCGATGCAAGTGTGGCCGAATTCGGCCGGAAACGGTCGAAAACGGCCAACCTGAGGTGAATCGCCGTCGCCGGAGCACGGCGGAGCCGCCGTGCCGGAATTGCGATATTGGCCGAAAGGGGCCCTGGGCCTAATTTGGGATTTTTTAGAACACGTGCAGGTACCAGTAGTGCGTTTCAGTTCTCCGGGAAAAATTCAGGAAAAATTAGGGACAGCTTGTAGGCGCACTGTGAAGCCGTGTTCGGACCCCGAAACGAGTAAGGACCCCTCACCCTATTTTCTATCACGGTATTAAAGTTCAATAATGATAAAATGGTAATTCTTGAATCAACGAATGTATGAAATTGCTTAAGGTCGCTAATGGAGCCCGAGTTTAGTGTGTTTGTCGGTTAACTGTTATTTGGCATATTTTACAGTTTTAAATGCAGTATGAGGTCTGATGTTTTCATTTCATTGTTTCGTGTGCATATTTTACTGTTTTATTGATTATGGGTTGAATGACTGAGAAACCGATGTTGTATGTTATCTTGTTTGGCATAAATTACTATTTTGCTTGTTTGCGTATGAATTGATGATGCTGACTGAGGAAAAGGGGAATGAAAGGTTATGTAAATTGATAATTGTATAATGTAATCAGCCTGACTAGATATCCTGGGAGATGGTGGACGGACCAGGTCCGTAGGGGACCCTACCGGGATTGTGGTCTCTCATACCGGACGGGGTATGGAGACCTTATGTGTTTTGGCGCCCATACCGGACGGGGTATGGGGACGGCCCGTTTCACCCTCATACCGGACGGGGTATTGAGGTTTATAGTTTTGGCGCCCATACCGGACGGGGTACGGGGACGGCCCTGGAATCTGATTATAAGTGTTAAGGGTTCACGGGTAGCGGGACCCCTATGGATCCCCATGGATACTAGTAGGCTGGTAAAAGAGGAAAAATATGTTGTGAAATGATTGGATTACAAAAGGCGTGATAAGTATTATGTTATACAATTTATATGATTTCATGATGATGATAATGTTATTGCTTTCGTATATTGTTTTATGAATTTCACCGAGGTAAGTGAATGGTAAAGGTTTTATTATTGATAAAAGGATTTGTTGTAAATTATGCTCCATTGGTCTTTTCTACCCACCTTTACCTCCGTGACGGTGAGATATCATGATGTCTTTACTGGGCTAGTGTAGCTCATTCCTTATTTAATCATTTCAGATCAGGAAGACATTGTTCCCGAGCCCGTCCCGCAGGAAGACGACGAAGGGGACGCCTAAAGACTCCATAGTCATATTCATAGCTTTTACTTTCGAGTTTCTCTTTTAGTTAGTTTGATCTTTTATATTTTGAGCACGTTTTTGGTTTTAGTGTAAGGGATGTTAATCGAAATTTTGACTTTGCTTCCGCATTTGACATTTTTAATACACATATTTCATGTTAAATTTACGGGGCCGTTATAAAAAGTTTAGCGTTCAAACACCAATTCGAGTAAGAATCTC